CGGCGTTAACGCGACTACATCGCGAGACAAACACGGTGTTTAATGGAAACTCCGGGCTGGCAATTACCCCGTGTGCCGTGCGTTATCTCGCGCGAACGTCGTGCCCTCCTCGTCTTTGCATACACGCGCGGAAATTATAAAGATCGGACCCGGATCGTCGGGTACCGCCAAATTACCGGACAGCGGCCGGCGATTTAATAATTATCCAGGCGGACGCGACGTGTTTTTCCGCGAGATCTCCTATCTGTCCCGCGCTAATAACTCGAACGAGTCGGGACGCGACCACGCTCCCCGGTACACTCCTCGTTATTTAATTGTATAATTATAATACTTCTGCCGGCTGATGGCTGTATCAACCACTAGCCAACGGTATATAGTCCCCCCACCCCCCACCCCTCGCGGAGATCCACCGCGCGATTAATCGGGGAGTGCCCTCGGGGTAATTAGAAATTATCCTGATAAGCGGGAAAAACATGGCGCTCGCGGAAAGAGATTTCTTTTCGAAAGGAACGTACACCGGAAAAATAAAGTCTTCATCCCTCTATAGTCCTTAAATGATGGGCAATTACCTCTTAAGTGGACTCTCGATCTCGACTGAATTATTTTACTTAATGTTGATTTTTGCCATATTGGTAAATGGAAAATCAACTTTCGTTTAAAGCATTTAAAAAATAATGAACTAATGAACATATACTATACAATATTAGTTTAAACTTGTGGGTGGCTCCAATAATCAGCGATATTATTGTTGAAATGCAACGCTGATACAATCAACATAATTACTGTCAACGTTTTTTGATTGGTTCTTTGCCAGACCTCGTCGCGACATTTTTTCAATGAATAAACTGTATATATTTTATTACATAAATTCCACCTTCTTGATTCCAAACTTCCACAATTATTGCTATAATACAAGAAGCGACGAACAAAGTATCTACGATTCATTTTATTCACGAGGAATCTAGAACAAATGGACGCAGTGTTACTCGCCGATCTTTTCCGTAGGATTCGACTAGCGAAGTGTCGCGATCGTTGCATCGAAAGTTGCGCGCGTCAGAGCAGCGTACCCGGAGTCTTCCAGGGTTTTAGCAAGTTCTCCGGTTACCCAGGTAGCAAGGAGGCCGACGGGCATCCGAGGACGTAAATCCGGGCTACCGTTTCGGCCCTGAAGATCGCACGATCTGCGCGCCGCGGTTGTAATAAAGCCGGGCCGCGATCGCGCACGGAGCGGTAGCGAGGATCTATCCTGGCCAGAAATGAGGGTCGAGGACAAAGAAGAAGGACGCCCTCGTACGTGTCTCGGCCGGACGAAACGCCGGGAATTCCAGAAACGTGCTTTCGTCTCCGAGAACAGATGGAGGAATCGAGAGACCAACAGCCGCGCAGTGAACGATGGTCGGAGGAGAAAGAGAGAGATCGAGGAGGAAGAAATCGCGTTCGATGGGATTTATCGACGAGACGCCCGAATCCTCCCCGGAATCCCGGAGCCGTTAAAAAAGATCCAGCGTCGCCCGGTGGTCGCGAATTTTATGCAGATTCCGCGGGACCGTGTAAATATCGCGTACGGACGGACTGTTGGTCGAGGTCAGGCCGAGGGGCCAGGACCCAGATCGGGAGTTCACCACCCAGCCTAATGGCAATTAAATATCCCCGCGCTAATTGGCAATTATAGGCCACCGTACGGTGTCGGGGATGTCTCGTTTCTCTCTTCGTTCGAGACGTCAGTTGCCGTGGTTCCCCTTTCGATCTCTCTCGCTGCGAGGTGGGAACGAACGGGACGAAAAAAGGAGCAAGTCCGAAAAAAAGGGGGGCAGGTAGGTGCAACAAGAGGCGCTCTCTCGTGCGATCTGGAGCTTATACGTATACCTGGGCTCCCTGTACCCGAGGCTGACCGACGGACGGAGGGGCCAGGCGGACGATCGAGATGCTCCAGGAGGGAGTTCAGGATGCGAGAGGCGTCCAGGCCACGGGGCCCCCGAACGGGCCCCTTCGAGAGTACGCGCGCCCGCGGGACGGGGAGAGAGAGGCGAGGCCGAGGTGACGACAGCGAAAACTAGTTTATTTGGGACGCGGCTATAAATTAGGATCAGATCGCCACGCGATAAGAGTACCGGCTAACACCCGGTTCCCTTCGAAAGGATCCCTCTTTCTCTCTCGCCACGACGCTCTCCTCTCTCGACTTCTTTCAGCTGGCAAGAGCTACGAAGAGAAGAGACAACCGGGACCAAAGCGGTCCTTCTCGTCGCACCGCAGGTTCTCGACTCTCCGTCGGAGGTTCGTCGTCTCTATCCGGTCGAACGATTCCACGGAGTTGGTCCTTTTGTGCGGAATAAGTGATCTGACGCTAATTAGGGCGCTGGAATATACGAACGGTGGTAAACTCGACCAGAGATATCGCCGTTTTCGATGGCACCGCGATATACTCGTCTTCTATTTACGTCGATAAAGTTTTATTTAATTATTTCGTGGACTTTCGGTTAAAATCGGAGATTGGTTCTCCGTGGCAGTCTAGTCGCCTCGTGAGATTCGATTATTTTATTGGAAGCGCGACGGTATCAAATAATTATTGAATTACTTCGATGATATCGCGTCGTGTATCTATTATCCGTCGATCGAGTTACTCGTCAATACGTGCTTAATTCATCTACAACGTGGAAACAACTTTCGATCCTACGTCAGATAGCGTGACGAAGTTATTGAAGTGCCAATGAACACAGTCGTGTACGTACGTTGCAAAATATATATAATCGAACGATCTCTTCGAGCGTAGATTCGGATCTATAACGGCGTGTTTTTTCAAAAAACTGGTCCCGGCTTGTTTACACCGTCGAGGAATCAGATAACCTTGAATGGCGCGATACCTTCGAGATGCGCGACGGAACGAGCGAGGAGGGAACAAAAAAAATCGGAGTAGAAAAGCCCTGGAGATGAATCTGGCGAATCGTTTGTAAGGAAACGAGGGAACAACCGTTTCAAGATCCCTCTTTCCCTCCACTCTGCCCTCGTCTTTCTCTCTCTTTCTCTCACTCTGGCTGTAGCTGTGAATGGAACGAAGTTCCAGCATTCTGAAGGCGATTTAACGATCGCTCGACTACTACGGATAACCACTTTTCTATCTTCCCGCCGAGTTTTCTCTCCGTTCGAGCACTCTGCCGTATTAGCGAGAGACGTTCAAAATCGATATCGCCCGCGGAAATAGGTGCGAGAGTCTACTCTCTGATACCAGCTGTTGGGCGACTCAGGAGCAAATCGGGAACGTCGGTCTAATTTCACATTACATTTATAGACTTCTAATAAAAAATTCAATATCAATCTAATTCCACTTTCCAATTTGATATCGTTTATTTCAGTTACGCATTTTTTCTTATTTATCAGCTACGAAACAAATGAAGATGTCTTCCTCTGCGTTAATGTTTCAGCATTGTTATCGAATTGAATTCAAATTTTCTGAACCAACGTTCCTCGACTTATCTACTTCCGTCGACTCGGACATCACAACACGAAAATCTACAATTCTGCTTCTCGTTCACGCGTCAGAGACTTAACTCGAGTCGAAATTAATTCACTTATCTACCCGTTCGCGAACATAGTGGCCGGCACGTTTGCTGGACCGAAACTTCGAGCAGGTAGAAAACGGGACGACCGTACACACGGTTGAAATTCGAGCCCCCTCAGTGTAACCCTCGTGCAACCTCATCTTTTTGATACCGATGTTCGATGCACAAAATCCACTTCGATCGAGGCTGCTATCATCCCTAGTTTCGATAATGGCAACCTTCCTGCGTTCAAGCGCGTTATTATATTTCGGCGAGCACCTATTTTGCACTTTATCGTTCGTTAGGAATAATTTATAAAAGCTATGCTTCCGTGGGCTATTAAAAGACCGACTGGGCGACCTTATTAAATCATTGGCACTATGAATACGTATTAAACTTTGGAATAAGTGAGTAAATATATCGAAGCAGTGAAAGCTGAACACCAAGGAAAGGTGATACCTGAGTCAAGTATGAGCGAAAGCACGCATGCTGCACTCAGAAGTGTCTAAATATATATGACCGTGGATTATTGCCTAAATTTTCTGTGGATTTCTAAAATGTCAGACGGTGTGTGGCATTGTTTCGCGATGGTGTCCCATTCGTTGGAGCACGCGGACCGCGGTCAGCCAGCAACGCGACAGGTTCAGGTGTGTTCCAAGGCACACGGAGGGCTCGGAGTACTCGAGTGCCGGTCAGAACGCAGCGGGGCCGTGCACGAGAGAAAGACGCGGCCAGCCAGCGGTGATTCCATTCACTGATTGAAATCTCCGTCCATTTGTCACTGTCAAGAAGGTGGCGATAGCCTCTCTTCTCTCCCTTTCTTTTTCTCATTCCCGGTCGTCGTCTCGCTCGCTCCGTCGCCGTCGACTGCCCACACGCTACTCAATACCCGATGCCATTATTATTTCAAAGCGAGTCCAGGCCTAACGACCAATCGACACGCCGGATATTAATTTCTTATCGATTTCCCCGCGATGGACCGCCGATCGACCGTCCATCCAGAGTCGTCCCTGGTCCCGAACGGGCCATTCCGGCCGATTTGCACGCCGATTACGCGCTCGTGTACTCCGGCCCTCCCCGCGACCTCCCCCACGTCCCATCCTTCGTTCCTTGTCTCGTCGCGAAATGAATTACGATCGCGACCGACCGAGGTACTCGCCACGATTAGCGTCAACGCTGTAATTCCGATTTGTCATCGAGTCCTCGAGCTCTGGAGACTCCTTCAGCGACGTTCGAGAATTATTTTTTATCGAGTGGATCGAAATTTTAATCGAAACGTCAACCTACCCCTGTCGAATTGCTATGTTTAAAATATGCTAAAATTTTAACCGATATCGACCTAGGATGTCTATCAAGCCACATCTAGGGATATTTTCTGGACGCGTCAGGGAATTCTGTTGGATATTTCTGGCGAAAAATGGGATTTCGATTCGGGAGCGATAGAAACGAGGCTGCTTCACTCACCTAGAGAGATGCGACGGTGATCTGACGTTGATCCAGCACACTTTAAACTGGCGACACGAACCCGCTACCCATGGACTGCGACCTGGAACGAGTAGTGTCGAACGTTATTGGAGTTCTAGTAAATTCGTGTTATAATTTTTACGAGGACGAAAAATTCGATACGGTAAAAGACGTTAGGAGCAAAATTACACTGTTTACTGTTAGAACAGGCTAATGACCACTCAGACCTAACCCAGACCATAAAAAGAAAAGATATAAATCGCCAATTCGATATCACCAAACTCAAACCCCCTAAATTACCAAGTTTCAGAAAGATTCGATTAAATCTTGGATTTTGGCCGAGTTTCCGACCAAAAGTTTTAGTTTGTATAATATATCCCTAGCCATCGAGCGTTCTTTCCACGGTAGAAAACGATTCCCCGAGACTCTGGCGAATCTTTCGTCCAAGAGGCAATGTCCCCAACTAGTCAAGTAATAAATTGTTCGAACCTACCCCTTGTAGAACGGTTTGAACGCGGTGGTGGCCTCCGTGGGTGGCAGACTGGCAGTGGTCTGATGCTGATGGAGGATGGAGTTCTGTCCCGCGGGCGAGAAGTCTTTGTGGGGCGATGCCTGCAGCCTGGAGCTGAAGGAGGACGCGCTGCTGGCGGAACCGGAACTCGTGGACAGATAGCCGGCGGCCGGATGACTGGCACCGTACGGATTCGGATTACCGTTGGTCGTGGCGTTGGCGTTGCCACCAGTGCAGTAGCCGGCCGGTGGTCCCTGGATCACTCCATTCGGTGTAGCCACCTTCATGTTGGGCGGTGTCTGGGGTGGAGTGTCCGTACCAACCTCGGGAAACCCCGCCGCCGCCGAGGAGGACGCGCTCGAGCTCGAACCGGACGAGGAGTTTGGGTTGTAATGGAGTTGCCCGCCGGAGGAGGAGGAGAGGAAGCCTCCGTACCTCGTCGCGGCGCTCGAGTACGGAGCAGTCGCCGCCGCGGAGGGACTCATCGACGCGGAGGAGGGCAACGCGAACGAGCTGAGGTTTCCACCTCCGCCGCCGCCGCCACCGCCACCGCCGCCGCCAGAACCGAGCCAAGGTTGCTGGGAATGATGATGGTGGCCTTGGTTGGGCAGGTGATGCTGCTGCTGCTGTTGCCCGTAGTGCTGCTGATGGTGGAGGTGGTGGTACTGTTGGTGATGGGGGTGCGTGGGCGGCGGGGGCGTTTTGCAGGCCGCCGTGTCCGCCAGCGACCAGATTTTCGGTTTGGTGGCGGGTATGGGTACTCCTGCCGCGCTGCAGTCGGACTTTATGCCCTCGTCTTTGAGGTGGTCCTCCCCGGCGTACCCTTGGTGATGATGGTGGTGGTGCTGCATCGCGTGGTGAAAGGGATGCTCTCCTCGTCGTGGGTCCTCCTCGAGATCCAGGTCGTCCTCGTCGTCCAGGTCCTTGTCGTGCTGCAAGTGCTCCGCTTTCACGTGCCTCATCGGCTCTGCAAACAGACCCGCCGCGACCCGTCAATTTAGTAAATTGCCCTAGCGCGAGGAGCTCCGACCGCTCGACGAGAACGAGCAAAAAGTTCCCAGCGGATCGAATCAAAGGGAATGCCTAACAGCTCGTGAAACCTCTTTCCCCAAACACACAAAAGAGCGAAACCGTTTTCCGCGGAACTAATAGAAAATTCAGTAAGGTCAACGGTGTATCGCGTTACCCGCGACGCCCCTCGTTATTCGGACCCCGACGAGATGTCGGAATTAATGGTTTATAATCCCTGGTGTGAAAGCGAGATCCACGCGAGCCGGTGTATCGGCGGCTGGGGCGAGGGGTCGACGATGCCGTGGAAACGCCAGGAGAGTCTCCTCTCCCTTGCGCCATCGCGCAGTTAAGCTGTAAGGGATGCTGTGAAAAAAAGGGAGCGGAGCCTTCAACCACTTTGAGGCGCGAGAGATTTTAGCTCCCCCTCGAGGCAGAGAACCGACGAGGGAGAATAGGGAAGCTGTATCCTTTATCCCTTTCCTTCAGCCGGTTACCCCGGTCTTTCTCGCTCGAACTCTCTCGGGGCACTCTAGAATCGTCCCGAGCGTCTGCCAGCTAGCCAGCCAGCCAACCATCGAGCCAAGCCAGCCAGTCAGTCAGGGGTGAGAATTTCATTAAGAGGTTCGAATGAGTCGGCAGAGGGTTTACTCGATGGGTCGTCAAGCGATAATTCCCAAGCTAGAAGGGGCCGACAGCCCCGCGAGGAAAAGAGAGAAACGGACGAGATGGACGGGGCCAGAACAGACGGAGAAAGATACAGGGAAACGGAGAGTTTAGGTTTAGGGTGCGCGCAACCCCCTTATAAAGGGAACCTTATGGGCCAACTAAATAGATACCAACCGTCGAGTCCACAAGTGGCTCTTTAACTTTTGACCCCCTTTTATCAGACGTTAATCTCATAATCTTCGCGCCATCCGGCGCCGGACACGGTCCGCGCGAATTGCGCGGATTACCGTTCGAAAATTTCGTGCCGTTCGTTTCTTCGAGAAGATATTTCGGCTCCGCAAAAAAATAGGAACACGTCCGTGTCCGACAATGGATACTGTTGACACGCTCGAAAAACCGAGTGGGTCCACTCGTCGAGTATATCTTACAACTGGATGGACCGTAGCAACCCTCGTGCGCGCACTCGTGGCCATCTGAAGTGACCTCCTCCCTTCGTCGTTCAACAAGGGAATTCATGAGGGTTCGGTAAGCTCTTGAATTTAGTAAACCTCCAGCGGAGACTCGCTGCTGCCTTATTCAAAGCACTGCCGTGGAAGATATATTTAATAACCTCGACGTTAAACATACTTCGGTGCAGTCGAAGGTTTAAGTAAATTTCCACGTAACACGTTAAATACAACTCTGCTCGGTCGATAGAACTCTAGACGAGAAACCTTTTGGTGCTGCAAGACTGCACATTTTCTATTCGAACCATATTCGAAGCACACCCTTTTGGATGCTGGATTCAGATGGATATACTAATTGGTTTAAACATTTTGAAGAACACGTTATGCCTTCCAAAAATCCAAAAAAATTCTACTAAATTCGATATATTATGTTATGCCATATTAGAGACATATGGTATTGCTATATGTATAGCTATGAGCCTAATATGGAAAATGAGGACCTCGGTAAAAAAAGTAAACATTTAAGATTTTATAAAAGTTTTGCAAGCAAGTGAAAAAAAGCATCCCTTATTCCACATTTTCTCGCTAGTCATCGTCAGGACCACTTTTTCCGTGGACTTTTCGGGGTTCTGTCCCGGTTACCGTTCCCGAAGACTCTCGGAGGACACTCGAGCGGCCAGATATTCATACGCGATCACAAATCACTCGACGCCCGGCCCGGGAATAGAAAACAAATCGGTTCCCTACGGTGGCGTACGGGCGTCCGTATTTTCGGGAGGGCTTATTTCCGAGGCAGCCTTTAAAATTACGAGGCATCGCGGGACGCGGCGTGACGTAGCTGGACGCAACACCTAAAATGTCCCGGAATCGAGGGTGGCGGAGAGAGAACGAGTCAGAGACAGAGCGACAGAGACGAGCGATATTGGCCAATGTGCGGTGGGGTAATGGTGGCCATAGGGGGGTCCGTACCATTCGTCTCGCCGCGGGCGCCGATACATCACCGTACCTCGAACCACCGGCTCTCTACGTCGTGTATCTATATACATCCACCGTTGTATATACACATCGGAGCCCGTGGCACCGGAGTGTATATGGTCCTACGGATGGCTACTCAGCCCGGGCGCACCCTCTGCCTCTCGCCCACAGAGACACACGCTTACGCTTAGGGAGACCAACGTACGCGCGCGCACACGCCACTAACCCACACCGAGCCACCGACCAACCGACCGACCGACACACTGCAACACACACCCCACGGTGAAAGCCCGACCATGCACACACACACACAAAGACGCACCAACACGAACCTAACGGCCCGGTCCACCGGGGGACCAAACCGAAGGCCATTAATCTCTTCGCGCGGCAACCCGCAACCCGTCACTGTGTTTACCCACATGTGAACCATTATGTCCGCCTCCGCGATATAGACCCCGACACACGCAGCCAGGTTTCGCAGCGAATTTCTAACTCGCCGTTTCCGGCCGTTGGCCAGGACGCCTGAATTTCACCGAAACACCCTCCGCTACCGAATCACCAAAAAGGACGAGCTGCTTTCTTCCATCGCGAACCTAAATTCCGATCGACGCCGCTCCAAAGGTCGGAGGTTCCTTACAAGTCGCGAAAACCGATTTTTTACCATCTCCAATCATTTTACTTTGGGTGTCATTAAGGTAATCTTTGAGGATCTTCGTTTAAAACATTATTTATCCCTAGAAATTGTTGAAGTAGATTAACGTTTCTATCCTTTTTGGAAATTTCTATTTACAGTCCATATTTCTCGTTCAAGGGATTAAAATGAACCCCCGTGGCGTGATTCGTAAGTTGAACGTTTTCCCATTTCTCCTAACCGGGAGGATCGTGCTCGTCGAAACTCGTTGGAAATAAACCAGAAACGTAATATTCGATCGATATCTTTAGTCAAGCTATCCAAGGATGATCGTTCGACCTGGAAAAGCTGGAAACAAAATCCAAAAGACCGCGCGCGTATTCCCGATGCAGTGCAAAACGCGTAGCCGGCTAGATCAGGTGTAGAGAAACCAAACCTAATTGCCTAGCATCTCATGAATGTATTCAAACCATTTCCGCCGATCGCAATTACCGATAAACAAGACGCAGAAGACTTTCCGAATGATCCACCTTGAATGGCGAGATCCATTAAAGAGTTTTCTCCCGCTGAGATACACGTTAATAAACGGACGCAACAAAAAGTAATTTAATTGTAATCGTTCCCTCTTCGTGGTATTGTTGGTCTTTATCCTAGCCTTTGTGCAAGACTGAGGACTCTAGACCTAGTTACTCGACCACAAGCCATTGCATTTGATTTGCAAATTATATCGATTACCAAATGAGAAAATGAGGTATAATTGCCACTTTTAACCCTTAAGTGGGCTCTCAATCTCAACTGAATTATTTTACATAATGTTTTTACCAAATTAAAAAATAATGAACTAATGGAGGATTACTAATATTAGTTGAAAGTTGTAAATGGCCCCAATAATCCACTTAAGGGTTGAATCTACCATATTACACTATCGACTACCAATTTGCAAAGACTAAATCGAAAATGGCCGACAGATCACAGATGTCTTCCAGTTCACCTATCGAAATTTGCAAATCGTGACGATCAGTCTCGATAAAAAAAAGATAAATCTCTGGCAACCTGCGACACGTCACCGTGTTTATTCACATGCGAACCATTATGTCCGCCCCCGCGACAGAGACTCGCGTTTCTAACTCGTCGTTCGCCGGCCAAGTAACCTATCGGGAGACGGCGGAGTTCCTAATCGAATTTACTGGCTAGCCAGAGGACACGCGGCTCGTAGAACGCGACTTCGAAACTCGCGGTGTCTGCGGCGTGTCGCTCGCGAAGACAGGAAGTGGCAAGATTTACGATCTGGACGACGCGGACGCGGCGTCGTCTCGAAATCGACGATGTTTTGATAGTCCCGACTCGTCTTGTTGCGCCGTCGATGAGGCGTTTACGGGATCACGACCCCCGAAAACGCGTGTCGCGAACGTTTCGATTCTCGTCCACGACTCGAGCGTTCGTCGAGCCTCGCGGATGAAGACGGGTCCGGGCGGAGACGAAGAGATATTTATTGCAAATCATGGAAAGAGTTGTACAGCGGTAGAGGAATCATATGGGGAGATTAGGGGTCTGGAAGTGTTTATGCTCCCCGAGAATCTCGCGGCCGATCTACTTGAACGGCGATCCATGTAGGGTGAGGTCGTACGGTTCGGCTTATTGTGAGCGGAATGGATGCTTGCGCAATATCAGAAACGCCGACCGATGGGTAGTCGATATCGGGGAAACTGGTCACGCGAGGCGTACACGCTACCGGCATTCCTTCGAGTCGTGGAGACCGACGTGTTTTCGCGGCCGAGTTCACCCTCCGCGACTCGAGTAATTCAGAGGTATTGCACGCCCGCGCAACAACTTCCATCGAAACCGTCCCGGTAATTGGCCCCTAATGGCGTCCGTTCCTCCAACATTCGAAGAGGTTATTCCAAGTATTCTTTAGACGGACGACGCATGGGCGCAACGGGCAATTGCGTTTCTCGTTCGATGCCTGCCTACACGCGTCCTCTATTCGTCCACCAAACCTCGGCACTTGGCAATCGAATCGAGACTACTTCGTTCCACCCACCGATTCCCAAACAAATTCTACGATAACTAGCTGGAATGTGTCGTCCATTTTGTACGTTCTGTTAATTCTTTTTCTTTCGATATGCTTTTGAGGTTTCACACTTGCATCCCCTTCGATGCTATCGATATTGTAAAGAGAGCTACAATAAAACTACGATGCGTTGTTTACTCTAATCTACCCAAATCTAAGTAAGATCCATAAGTGAATTTTTGAACGAAGGAAGATACAAGGTTGGCTTTAAGAAGATAATTGGGACCGTCGAACCGGGAGAAGACGATAGAATACATGGAAAGGGAGTTGCTTACCGTTTTCCTCAAGGCCTCTCCTCGCCTCCTCGCCAACCCTGTCGCCTTGATTGTCCCCCGCGAGATCGTCCTTTTCCTTATTATCCTCGGAGTCCGTGAGAACCGCGTCGTCGTCGTCGTCGGTCTTGTTCTTCGGCTCCCAGGTCATCTTGTTCTCCTTCTTGAGGCGCCTTCGCGCGTTGGCGAACCAAGTCGAGACTTGCGTAAGCGTCATCTTCGTGATAATCGCTAACATGATTTTCTCGCCCTTCGTAGGGTAGGGATTCTTCTTGTGCTCGTTCAGCCAGGCCTTCAAAGTCGCCGTCGACTCCCTCGTCGCGTTCTTCCGCCGCGCTGCTAGGTCGTATCCGGCACCGTATCTGAAAATATCCAACATTTACTCTATTCCACATTAACACATTATTTATCTAATCACACTCATTGACAGATCAAACCCGTACAATATTTTGCAAATTTATTTCCCTAAACACATATGGGTGACAGTCAAAGTTTTCGATTTTAAAATATTGGCAGAAGACAAGGTATACTTTTTTGTATACTTGATAGTGCATTTTCTCGATAGTAAACTCTACGCGTACATCCTTAGTCTTGAGTTTTATTCAATCAATACCTTACGACGAGATAACCCCACCCGCGCTGCTCGACCCTGCGAACTAGATCAATCCGCGAATTCCAACGTGGAATTTAATTTAAGCGAATTCTGTTCCACGATTTGGAATTCCATCGTGCACGACGAGAGACAACTGCTCGTTACAGGCTCTCTGTATTCACTCGACCTTGCGTACCTTCGAACCACCGTTTCTAGCGATCCTTGTGCAATTTCCTCAATGAAAATCACATCGATATCATTGTGACAAAGAGGGCGAAACTTAACTTTTAAAATTCAAAGTACTACAGTTTCTCTAGACAGAGATTCAAAAGAACAAAGTGCAACGCTCGAAACGGTGGTAACGGGGGAAAAAGAAGGGACCGAGATCGTCCATATTGTAAATCGTGTCCCGATCGGAGACACTCGTCCCGATACAAAACCGTCTCCGTTGCCGGGCTCGAAAAGCGTAATCATTGTTCAACATTTGTCGAGCCGAGGCACTCCACTCGAAAAGTGGCATCCTGCCGAGGGGTGCGAATTCCCCGCAGATTCTCGCGAGTCCGAAGTGGTGGTGCGCGAGAGAGCCATGCTTCCTAGATTCGTTTCTGGCCGCCCTCCGGCCTCTCCTTGCCAGAGCATCGAACCCTCCGGGACAGGGGGCGACATCCTACTGGGTCGAGGGTGATACTCCGGCAAATATATACGGAGAATAAACCCCCAGCGGCGGCGTGATTCCATCGAGCAACCCCCGGCACTCACTCGCCGTAATGGCGATTCGATCGATCCTCCCCTCCTCTCCCTCTGGCTTCTCTATTCTTCCTGCTTACCTCTCTCGCTCGCTCCGTGTCCTCCCCCACCCGGGTGAACCCCACGCGAGGGTGTTATAGGTATGTACTATTATATACTGGCAGCCTAAAATACCTATCGACGATCCATCGGCCGTGGAAGGGCGCCGTTGGCGATTGTATTGGTACCACTGTTCGAGGCGGTGGTTACCAACGACATTGTACCCGGAGCGTGACGCAGCCTGACGCCCCGGTACTCGGGGAATCGGTGTCGAGGCAGTTACGCGAGAAGAAAAACGACGCCGTCGCCTAATGAAAACGGTGTATCGTTCGGGGCGGTTTGCTCGATTGCGGGATACATACCGATCAACCAACGAACCAATGCCGAATTTCTGACGATTTTACGCTTAGATTTCATCCCCGGAACGATTCGATTTCGGATATTGCCAAATAGCTCACGAATTAATTGTTCGAGCCCTACATTTTATTTGAAATGAAGTATTTCTTTTTTTTATTCTTTTTCCTCCCGATTCACGGTTCACGGAATATTTCTTTTTGCTTAAAAATAGGTTTACGACTGCAATTTCGTACAGTCGGGACCCTTTTTCGTTACTTTTATTGCGACTTGACTCTCGGAGGCTTTCACGACCCGGGTTCTCGCCATCCAGGTATAAACTGTGCTCGTTTGAAAAATAGTCCTGACGTTTTGCCAGCATTATCTTCGTCCGAACTCCGAGGACAGGACGATCAACGCCAAAGTACGGCCAAAATATCCGAATCAGTTTTCAAGAATGAATGAAATATTCCAATCGCTGTAGACCCAATCGTGCAACAAATCTGCCCGTTACAATATAAATTAATTGACTCGAGAATTCGCGGAGAGCTGTAAAGCTGTACCAATAAATAGCAGATCACAAAATATCGGAAAGGAAACTTCTCTAGCGATTAGGAAATAACAGTCGACCGAAAGGGGGTAATGGGGAGTTTACTGGGCGATGATTACAAGAAGCGACGTTTCTCGGAGACCACGGTGTACAAAACTCGGACAAACAGAGCCCCGTTTATTTTATCGCGCGCCATAAATCGGTAGAACGGATTCGCGATTCGGCGTAAACAAGAGACCGAAAGAGAGAGAGGACTCGATATCGTCGAAAAATTTTACGGTCGATTCCGCCTTTCGAACGGCTGGAATCCATCGTGTTTTACGTCCTCGCTGGACGAGATCATCAACGGGGATCCTTTTTACGCGGGCACCGAGAGTTTATTCAAATGGAGACGTTTTCCGTTTCTAAATCGCGCTTTACGATCGCGGGCTATCCGGGGCCCGATACTGTTCGGCGAGCGCAACAAATGGCCCCGATGAAATCTTCCGTCTCGGGCTATAAGTTTAGACGTGATCTAATCTCGGCGTTTCACCGCGTCCGGGAACGACCGCCATCCCCGAAAATATCGCCACGCGTTATGTCGACAATGCCACTCAATTTGGACCCGCGACGCGCCCCCGCCCCCCGCCACGAATCCGTAACTCGTCGACTAAACGTTTTCCTTTATCGAAATTCCTCGAGGAGCGCGTATATACGCGCATATAAATCGCGAACGCAAAGCCACGATGGGCACGAACGAATTAGATTCGGGGGAAGAAACGATCGGGGGGGATAGAGAAAACAGAGGTAAATCGGAGGAAAAGCGAGCGATTAGGCTCTGCTCTCGCTCGGGGAACAGAGGATTGCGTAATTCCCCTTACCGGAATCCAATCCACCCCCCCACCTTCGTCTCCCTCTTCCCGTCGTTACTGCAATCCACATCCAGGATTGCTGATGACCGCGTCGATGGGGACGAAGAAGCCACCGGATCCCGAGGAACCAGACTCCTGGAAGTTCGAGGACGTTTCACCCTCTATTAAACTCCCTCGGACAAGGGAAAGGCGGCCGAGGCTCTCGCGTCTCGCCAATAAAATCAGCCTCTTTTTTCGCTTGTACCTTTTATTTTTCCCTTCTTCTCCGCTCGTTTCTTCCCTTTCGCTTTTTTTTCTTCTTTTTTTACTTTCACCTCGAAAACGTTCAATCAATTCGGGGTTGCTCGAATCCAACGATTGATTTATTGGGTTTCGGGGGCGAGCGGGCGAGAACCAGGAGATAGATCAATCTTCGCCTAAAAGCGAAATTGATATTTGAGCGAAAATTGAACACCGGCGACGGAGCGGGCAAGTGCATTCTGGCTGTTTAAGACGAATAAGAAAATCACGTATGTTTTTTTATCATCGCGTATTCATAAGAAAACCGATACGCTTTTGTATTTACGATCGAAAAATTACGTAAAGGGGTTGAATATTTTTATGCTTGAACAACGTAGAATTATATAATCATCAATAACTATGTACTCGAAATATGGAATTATTTAGCCAGCGTCTGGACTTTAGGGGTTCCCTGTATTCCTTTAAAAAGCATGTCACTAGTGTTGTACGCAACTAATAACATACGTATGATATCAAAGGGTGTACAAACCCAACAAAATGTCGACAGAACGTATTACTTAGACGAAGTAAATATTAAAACTCGATCAGCGACGAAACCCCCTGTCGCCCTCGGTTAAGTTTATCGAATCCTCGTCGAGTATAAACAGTCGCCACGATAATTTCCCCCTGCTGTATCATCGTCGAGGCCCGTAGGGGTTGACGGACCGGTAATTCGTCGAGCGAAAGACGCGATTTCGATCCCCCGGAGCCGAGACAATATACCCCCGTCCTCCCTTGCGTAAGAGTTCTCCCACCCCCCATCGGTGTCTGGAACTCCGTTCGTCCCGCTCGCGGCAATATATCAAAATCACGGCGGTGGCTATAGGTGGGTTCCTTTGTCCGAAAATAACGTCGGGGGGGCGACAGTCAATATAAAGTTGTAAGGCCCGGGGTTTCAGAAACGAAACACAACTCGTTCCGCGAATGGCTCGGAAGTTAGAAATTGACAGCCGACCGGGTGCCTCCAGATTTAATCGAAGCCCTCCCCGCCTTCATTGATATGCGCAATTTCGACTGCCTCCCACGCGCGCGGAGGCCTCGCTGCCGCGCAATTATCCACACACGGGCACACGTACGAGCGAACCTCGTTCGCGCGAGCACGCACACACAAACGCGGCTCGGGAACGAGCGCGATTTACATACTAAGTGTGGCGTTGCGTGCCAGCGGAGAATCGCTCGGATGTATCGGCGCCGATCGTCCCGCATATGCAGAGAGACGTACGAGAGAGACTCCGGGGCCTCCTCGATGCAATGCAGATGCGACGCCGGGCGTAACAGAGGCGCGACGCGAAACGCCGCCACGACGAAAGCTCGCCTCTACTCTGTACGCTCGCACGGATACGCTTAGATCGCGAACCAACGACGATCTCTCTAAGGGCGTTCGTAAAAAACCGCGACACCGGTCTTATCGGTTCTTCCGTCGCGATATGGAGACACGGTCCCCCCGGCTGGATCGCGAGGAATCCAGGCTGCGTGGGTTTCTGTTCCGCGGAACGCTCTCGTCGATCCTCCGAATCGACTTCACCGATGTATCAAGGGGGTCGTTGTAAAACGCCTTTTTTTATGAAGAAACTATGCAGCTTCTTGCATCTTCCAGTAATATTCACAAATTTTTACGACGAGAAATAGTCAAAATTAGTGGCGGTACAGTAAACGGTGCAAATTCCCGCTAGGAACGCGATTATTTGCATAATTATTGGAACGATTTGGAATGTAATTGTGGGTAGTCGCCATATCGTACGACAGTCTGTTATGGAGCTTACGGGTAAAAAGAATCGTGTAGGCCTGGATAGCTCGATGGATGGAGCAGCCCGGCGAGCGGAAGATCCGGGTTCCAATCCCGTTTTGCTCCCGATTCTTTTTCTCCTGCATAATGGACGCTGGTATTCCAGTAGCGGTTTACATTTTATCGACAGTGTTACAAGCATGCCTAGCCTGAGGTACGCACGAATGCAAACCCTGTTACCCGCT